ATCGTCCCATCTCTTTCCTGCTGGGACTCCGACTGATACAGCAGGACATGTAAAATGTACGAAAGGGGCTGATTGTTCAATGGGGACAGGGTTTCCTTCCAGGGTGATGAAATGTATTGCAAGTAAATAGAGCTGGTGGTTGCACATTGTGACTGTACTAAATGCCACTGAACTGTGCACTTTAATATGGTTAATTTTGTATTATGTGAATTTCACCTCAAAAACATTTTTTTAAGGCCCAGAGGGCTTCACAGTGAAGAGTAAAATTTCCTCCCATTCTTCCTCCTTCCCTCACCCATTGCTCTCCCAGGGGCAGCACTGTGAAGTTTCTTTTGCATCATTCTAGAGATGCTCTGGACAGATACAAACGGTAACACACGGTATACACAAGTTGGTACCTTGCTTCTTACACTTGACAATATTCCCTGGAGAACTTTTCATACTGTTGTATTGAGAGCTTCTCAGTTCCTTTCTGGGGATGTACAGCATTCCACAGAAGGGCTGGTCGGCTGCATTCAACCAGTCCAGTACGATGCACATTTAGGTTGTGTTCATTCTTTCGCTGTTATAGACAATGCTGCAACCAACAACCACATCCCTGTACTTGAGCTAGTCTTGTTTGAGGATAAATTCCTAGAACTGGGACTTCTGGAACTTGACTAAGTTTAAACTTGAAAATGATAGAGTTTTGTGGGAAATTGACTGATGAAATTGTTCTGCTATTAGGAGGAAGAGGGGAGAGAAGTGAAGAAAAAAAATTTCATCGAGTTACACAAAAATGAAGCTGCACTTTTGCCCACCTGAGTTTGTGGACTGGGGAAGTCGGTACCTGCTGTGTGGGGGGCAGGGTGAAGCGGGAGGGGTTGCCGGCTGGGAACAGGGTGTCTCCAGGACTCTCTGGGGCCAGTGCCACGTGGGAAGGCAGAGCCCAGCCCACGGTAACGTTCTCCAAAGAGACAGGCCATGGATGGGACAGGTGTTCTTACCTGGAGTCGGACCCCCCTGAAGTCAAAGGCAACTTGTGTGTATGTGTGTGTGTTTGCATTTTCCTAGGGAGAGGGCTCCTAGCTCTGTGAAGATCCTCGGGGAGGTCCCTACCTGACAGTGAGGAACCACAGGAAGTGGAAACCCCCAAGCCTTGGAGTTACACAGCCCTGGGTTCAACTCCTGCCTCTTCTGCTTATCAACTGGGTGACCCTGGGCAAACGACTCCACCCTTCTGAGCGTGAGCGTCATTGTAGCAGGGGTGGGTTAGTGATCATTGCTTCTTGGAGCCGTGGCTAGGGGTGACAGGAGATTTTCACTTATTGAGGTATACGGGGTAGCTATTCTGGTTCAAAACTCACTTACGGCCTATCAAACATACATTCTACGTCTGCTTTAACCGTTAGAGTAAAGAATGCATTAAACATTATTTCAAAGTAAAAGAATGCACTCTTTTAAGATAAGAGTGCATACTTCCCCTCCCACGCCCGCCAGTATCAGTACCGCCCCCCTCCCCAGGCCTGTATCAGTAGTCCTGGAGATAAGTTCCCTCTCCCACATCAGGGGCATGTTGACCTGCTAATTTGCAACTGAATACCTCTTTGAAACTGATGAATATGTATCCTGGGCATGTTTCATGTATGTTCTTTGTTCTAAGAACGTGTACTGAAAACCATGCTTCTCCAGAACGCTTTCTTCCTTTGTGGAAAAGTGCTTCCTGAATTATGGTCCTCACTCTGACTCAAGTAAAAGTCACCTTACCCTCCTTATCTATGGAATGGTTCCTGGTTATTTGCCTCGACAGGAATGAACTGGGAGACGAGGCAGACGCCCAGTACAGAGCTGGTCGCCAGTAAGAGCTTCCTTGTGGCACCGCTGTGTCTCCTGGTAATAACCTGGTCTTCTGCATACTTCTCTGCCTCCTTCCCTCCGTTGGTGCCCTGTGGGGGCCAAGTTTCCTCTGCTGGTCCACTCTAAAGCAGAGACAAAAGATTCCAAGAAGCTGCTGACCTAGAACCAGATAACGCAAATGCGCACGCAGAGCCAGTTCTTCCCCTGCCAGGGATTAGATAAAGCTGAGCTGGCTGGGCAGAGGAGAGAAAAGGTAGAAAGAGGAGTCCTGGACATGGGAGGGGACCGGAAGGGACACAGAGAACAGCGTATGCTGAGGGTGGAGCCCCCGCCCTCCATCAGCTGTGGGCGAACGGCCTTCCCAGTCTCGGACCTGAGTGAGCTGCCTTGAGCAGAGTGGGGTCTTGGACCCCTTGCATAGGGCTGAGGCCATGAAGGCCTTGTTATAACTGAAGTCCGAGAGCACATTGCTCCTCTGCCGGAATAGTCCAAAAGCTTCCCTTCTCAGAACAAAGGCTGAAGCTTGTGGAGGCAAAATAACCAAGAACCATTCTATAGATAAGAGAAATAAGGTGAGTTCGCTTGAGCCAGAATGAGGATCATAACCCAGGGAGGCCTTGGAAAGTGTTCTAGAGAAGCACGGTTTTCAGTAAATCTTATATCTTTTTAGAATAAAGAACACACATTAAACACACCCAGGATACATTTTCATCAAAATTTCAAAGAGGTATTCAGTTGCAAATTAGCAGGTCAGCATGACCCTGATGTTGGGAAAGGGACTAATCTGGGCGTTACCAATAGGGTGTTCCAATAGGGTGTAGGAGGGGAAGTATGGATTCTTATCCTAAGAGAGTGCATTCTTTACTTTAATGGTTAAGCAGATGTACAATGTATGTTTGATAGGCCATAAGTCAGGCTTTTTAGTTCAAGCCAATCAGTTTTGAACCCGAATAGTTACCCCATATACCTCAATATGGGAGAATCTCTTGTCAAGTCCTTACATTGGGCCACAAGGCCCCTTATGATCCAGTCTCCACCATCTCTCTGACCTCACCTTCTACATCTCCCTGTCCCCTACCCATCACACTGGCCTTCTTGCTGTTCTTCCTGCCTCAGGGCCTTTGTATGGGCTGTTCCTTCCTACTGGAACACACTATCCCATGTATGGCTGACTGTCTCCTTCACCTTCCTCAGTGTTTACTCATATCTCTTCTCAGCGAGGCGTTCCCTGACCCTCCCATCTATACCCACACCCCAACAGCACTCCCTACCCACTTTCTGTTTATGTTCCTCTGCCCTTACCATCATCTGACTCTCGTGTACTGTGTGTTTTACCATCTGTCCACCAGAATGCCTGCTTCTAGAAGGCAGGGATTTCTGTCTCTTCAGTTCCTTCTCTACCTACAGTATCCAGAACAGTGCCAGGCACAGAACAGGTGCTCAAGAAACACTCATCAAATGAATGACCTGTGACCCATTGGTGTGCTCATGGTACAGCCATGGACCTCAGCCACTGGGGTATAATAAACTGGTCCTTTTGGAAACAGTTCCTGGGTGTCTCCAGGCAAAGAGAGGGATTCCATGTAACAGGTGATCTGACTGAGACGATGATTCAACCTAAAGATATGCCCTCTGGTTAATAAGGAAAAAAAGGTGATTAGGAATACCAAGGAAAAGAACTTGCAAAAATAAACCATGGTACAAGTATGAATGTGGCATGATTGTCATGGGGTTCAGGGCAGACTACTCCAAGATGTGCCACTCGGGTATGTGGATTATTTTGAGCTGAAGACAATAAAGGCTCAGAAGACTCAGACAGAAATTTTGACCTTCCCCCCCACTAACTGCCTAAAAGGATTTAAGAACTGCCTGTCCTTAGTTATCACCATAGATAACTGAGTATCATAGATTGGGAGGGTCCTTGCTAAGCCCATTCTTATCAAAGTTTTATTTACCAAACATTTACATTTGTAAGGGAAATCTCCATTTGTAAAGGTATCTCCCTGTCTGTACTGGGAAGAAGGGGTGATGACCTCATCTCTAGAAACTTATCAATGGGGAAGGGGAAGCTGCATCATAACCTTACTGTGCTTTTCTGGTAATCTCCCATAACTGACTCCCCCTACCCCCAACATCCTCCTTTGTCTTTGCTTAAATCTAGTTAAGAAGAGAACCTCTGCCATCTTGTCAAGTTACCCAGTGGGTCTCTCCCATGTATACATGTTAGAAAGCTCTGTTTAATTTTCTCCTGCTATTGGGTCTCATGTCAATTTAATTTGTAGCCCAGCCAGAAAGGACCAAGAGTGGGCTAGAGGATAGTCTTCCTCCCCGTCAGTTTGGCGACTTGGACCGCATAAAAATTTCACTGGCTGGAGGCTCTTCGCTCCTAGACTACTGCTGCTGAGAGTTCCTGGACCCCTGACAAGAGCTGGCATGAGGTAAAAAGTTCTTACCATGTCAGTCTCCCAGATCTCTGCCTGCAGGGTCCAGTGGAAATGCAAGTGGTGAGTTTTTTTCCTTTTCTAAATTTAGGTTAGCAAGAGAAAACATTGGTGAAGCTAGCTTCTCAGACTCAGTGACTCTAGGAAATTTGGTTGAGTACTCATTGGTTGTAGATCCTTCTCCTCCCAGAAATAGTCACTATTGCTCCTTGTTTCTGTCTTTTTTGGCATTTGTCATAAGACACAGGCATCTCTATAAGGCTGTTGTCTGAGAATATGCAAACGAAGTGAAAAGCTAAGGGCATCTTGGAAGCCCAAAAGGCCGCAAATTTGGTGGGTGTGAGTCGAGCAGTTAAGAGCCATTAGGGCACTTGCCAGCACAAGAAGTCTCCTGTGAAAAGAAAAGTTGGTCATGGAATGGGGTAGATGACACAGGTCCCCTGCCAAGTTCAAGAAAATGTCCGTGCAACAATGAGGTACTCTGTAAAGCACACACCATCCTCAACCCCATGGCATCTCCCTGCTAGGTATTTTTCTGGGTCCAAGAGACCCAAGGCTTAGCTAAAGCTGTTAATGTGCATATCAGGTGAGGTTTTTTCCTTTTGTCTGTTCTACGTCTTGAGGGCTTGGCTTTGTGACCTTTCTGGTCTGTGCCATCCAGAGGATGTACATACCGGCAGGCGTCTTCGCGGCCAGATGCTGCCTTTGTCCGGCTGTGTTTGCTCTCAGGGGTTTGTCATAAGGGGTCCCATTTGCTTTCATAAGGGGCCTTTGTCGTCTCAACCTTCATTGCTTGTTGTGTTTTCTTCTTTGGGGGAGTGAATTCTCTGGATCTCTTTTGGGGACACCACTTGCATCCATCGTTAAAGCTTTGGTATGAGATGCTGTTAAGATCCTACTCATCAATGTGGCCAGATGACGGATTGTTTAAATTGGGAAAACTTCTAAATCTGGGGAAAAAAATTTTGTGAGAGCTCTCATCATAATTGTTTTATTGATACCTATGAAAAGGCCACATTAGAAAAAGAAAAAACAATGACTAGGCTTAAGACTCTGACTCAGGTTACAACTAAATTGAGAAAATGTAAAAGTGTAAGTGTTGTTAAGATTATAAAGGTTGGAACGTTTGAATTAATTTTATACAAAGAGGTTATATCAACTTTGCCTGAGTATGTTTTAAAATGTCTGACTGGGAATGCTTCCCCTGTCCAAAATTATAAGACCAAGATCTATTGATAAAGTCCTAATGAAAACTATGATTAGAGGTATAAGAGTTGATGGAATTCAGATGAAATTTTGCAGAAAAATTGATATATTTATGGGGTTTATGTGACGTATCTTTTTTTTGCCTGATTATATTATAAATTGTATTGTGGGGATAAACATTGTGACTCACTGGAGAATGTTTCCCCTGCCTGATTGTAAAACAGCATATAAATCTGTCCTTCAGACAGTGGTAATTAAATTTACAAAAGGGGGAGTCAATACGGTTGCCTGAGCCCATACTGTATGAGATAAAAACTAGAGGCTAATATCAGGACAATAAAATCTCCTCCACCAAGGTAAATTGGTCTAGGATTAAATTGTACACTTAGAAAGGTGCAGACTTTTAAAGGTGTGATACATTGTCCTGAAAGTTTTAGCACATACAAATCTTTTGACTCACCACATAAGTTAAAATTTTCCCTGATATATATATATATAAAAAACCAACTGGAAAAAAAATGTAGCTGGAAGGGTGGATCAACTTCTTTGTCATTCAAACTGTAATCCAGTTCTTTGGGGACCTGGAACACCCGTCTTTGTCTTGCAAATCTCTGCAAGGCCTGAGGTACGACTCAAGAAAGCAGTTCAAAGTTCATTTGCCAATCCCATATCCTCCCCTCTGAACTCCGAATTCTGAACTCCGGAGACTTGCGCAAGTGCTTAACAAAAGGAATATCTAGCCCATCCCAGATTCCTAAGACTGAAAGAAAGAAAGAAAAAATGGGAAAAGAAGCTGTTGCAGATGCAAACTGCTAAAATTTTTAACAGAGGCTACAAAACCTTTGTTGCATCTGTCTGTTGTTTGTGTGTGTGTTTCTATGTATGTTACGTTTGTGTGATATTTTACCTCTGGATGGTATAGTCAAAACCATTGATACCGAGCAGTGGGCTCACTCTGCTCACTGCAATCTTAGCCAATTAATCACAATGAGTTAGAGATCAAGAAACGAAGTTTAATTAGATTAACCAGCAAATCGGAAGACAGGTGACTAATGTCTCAAAGACCCATCTTCAAAGATCACAGAATCTTGAGACAGTTACATAGGGAAGATGGGCAGGAAGAAAGGGGGTCCAGGGATGCTGGTCTCCAGGTGTGACAGGCTCCAGGTGTTCCATTCTTCTGTCAGCTGTGATGAATACGTTGTAGGTGTGTTTCCCGCCTGTGGTCAGCCTGTTCTTGGAGAGAAACTCATAGAACAAAGTTTTTAATTTATCAAGCTACTGGGGAGTGCATACGTAAGTGGAGGCCATAAATCAGGAGAGCATGTGAACTTTTTGGAGTACGTGCAGCACAGTGAGTAGTCACATGGAGGAGGGGCTGGGCCATTTAGTGTAACAAGATGACCTCACTTATGCTCACTTACACTATGAGCTCTGTTTAACTGGCTTAAAGAAAGTGCTTATATGTCGTTCAAGTTAACATGATATGAAATAATCTTTGGTAAATGAAAGCTGGTTTAATTTTGTTGGTTTGATTGAAATAGGCACATCCTCAGAGTTGCCAGTATTTGGATATGATGCCAATGTGCAGCCTGGGTTTGCTAGTCAAATAAGCTCATGTTATCCCTGTTACAAATTCGTCAGCAAAATAATAGCTTTAAATGATAGCTGACTTTGTCTAATGTCTCGTGAAGTTTTCGTGGGTAATCGAAACATAATTGTTGGGAACAAATGATTTAGATAGATGAAAATGAGTAGGAGTTTTTGGGTACAATAATTATGTTTTATGATCTGCATACTTGAAAGAACAGCTTCCAAAGTTTTTTTTGGTAACCTAAAACTTTGGAGTTTTGCTAAATTAAATTAAATGATAAAAAAATCATTGAGTATTTAGAGCATTTTCAAATAAGATAGGATGTTAGATATTAATTACTAAATATAAGTTTATCGACTTTTGGCTTCTTATTACAGAAAAACTAAAAGGTATTTTGGGTCTGTTGGTAAACATGTTTTGTGTTTTATTAAAAGATTGTACTATAACATGTTTCAAGAATTATGAAAAGTGTTTATAAATTTGCCAAGCTACAGAATGCTAATGTAAAAGAAAGTTTATAATTGCTTACTTCTTAGTTTTTACTTAAAAATTAAGATTTCTAAGGGTTAAAAATTCTAATATATGATTAAGTCTACTAGAAATTAATAAGGAATACATGTTTGTATTCAAGGAAAGTAAGAATATATGTTTTTAGTAAAGAAGGTATGAAAAATGGAAATATTTTTGTTTAAGAAAGGTAAATTTGTCCTACAGTACTAGAAGGGAAGAAAGGAAGGCATGGAGCAAATTCTAAATGTAAAAAGTAAGTGACAGAAAGTTTGTGAAAGTAAAACCCTGAGGAGTTTTAGGCTTGGTCAAGTTGGCTAAGATTAAACTAAATCCAATTAAGTAAATGAATTTTAATGTCAAAAGTAAGCTGGTTCAAAATTAAACTTTGGTCTTCTTTCTCTTAAAAGGATAATTTTTCTTGAACTTTTCGTCTGAGGGGCTATAAAAGGTTTTTCTTTACCTTTGAGTAAGTCTGCCTAAAAGACAGAAAAATCTATGTTTTGTTAAAATAATTTCCTATGTTCAAAAGGACGGAGGTCTCTCTATTAAGGTTTTTTTGACTATTTTAACTCTCTACTTGCCCTTGACTGTTTCTATTGTCACTTTGATTGAATGGATAACTGAGCATTGTTTCACAGTGAGTGTTGTTTCCTGTTTGATCAAGTGTTTTAAAACCTTTTGATATTTTTTTTTATAATTTTTATTTATTTATTTTTTTCCCCCAAATCCCCAGTAGATAGTTGTATGTCATAGTTGCACATCCTTCTAGTTGCTGTATGTGGGACTCGGCCTCAGCATGGCGGGAGAAGTGGTGCGTTGGTGTGCGCCTGGGATCCGAACCCGTGCCGCCAGCAGCGGAGCGCGCGCACTTAACCGCTAAGCCACGGGGCCGACCCCTTTTGATGTTTTTCACAAGCTTCCCCCCTCACACAAAAAAATTATTCAAATCCTGAATGAAGTCTTTCTTTTGACCTGGAAGAAGAAGAAAAAATTTTTTTTCCCTTGAGAATTTTCAGAGGGGCCTTGGAACTTCTCAAAGAAATTTGCTCTCTTCCTACAAGGAGAAAGATACTAAACTTACTAGGCTTATTTGGTATGTTAAATTACATGAGAAGCGTTGTCAAATAAGTGATGATAAACCTTCTTAGGTGGTATTATGTAGGTAAATGTTATTGATCAAAGTGTCTTAAAAATTATACAACATTCCTAGAATTCTGATCTTTCCTGGTTATCAGTAATAATTCTAGTTATTATCTTATAGTGTTGTATGTCACAGAAATTAACCAAATTTCTTTTCAATTGCCACTTTGGGGTCTTGTTGTTTACAGACAGTTATTGTTTTATTCTGCTTTTGCAAATGTTTTCATCTTCAGAGAGATTCAGAGAGGACTCTGGTGCTTACTCTAGAATACAAGTTTCTGAAAAACTTTCAGGTTATAAAACTGAACTGGGTAAGAAATTACAAAACTCTAATGGAGAAACTAATGGCCTCATAAAACTGCTAACAGAAGATTAAGATCAAGAATCAATTATACAGGGGTCCGGCCCCGTGGCTTAGCTGTTAAGTGCGTGCACTCCGCTGCTGGCGACCCAGGTTCGGATCCCGGGCGCGCACTGATGCACCGCTTCTCCGGCCATGCTGAGGCCACGTCCCACATACAGCAACTGGAAGGATGTGCAGCTATGACATACAGCTATCTACTGGGGCTTTGGGGGGAAAATAAATAAATAAAATCTTTAAAAAAAAAACAGAAAAGAATCAATTATACAGGACTGAATGAACTGATGAGGATGATTATGATTTTTATGACTTTTGTTTGAAATATTGCTGATTTTTAAAAACGATTTGTTTTTTCAGATTTAAAGAGAACTCTTTTCTCTTAAGCTAACTATGACTTATAGCAATTTGGTAAACTATACCTTTGTAAGCAGGATTGAAATATTTATCTTTTTCTCTCTACCTGATCCGTCTAGAATGTGGAAACTCTTAGTAAGTGAATATTCTTATTTCATGGCAATATAGTTATTTGCATAAGTTCAATAAGAATCTGTTCTCTTTATAACAGGACACAATTGGAAACATTGGTTATATTACCAAGGCTTTGACTGGAATATCATATTTTGAGAAAAACATACAGACTCAAATATGACAAGACAGCTTTTGAGAGACAAAGATTGGACTTTATGGAATAAAGCCAAGTGAAAATATTGGCCTGGTGCCTTATGTACAGTGTTCCAAGCAACGCTTACTGGGTATGTAAGGAATGTCACTTATCTGACAGGTGAAAGGAACCTCAATATTTTGGGGGACCTCAAGAAGAGAGGAATACACCCAAATCTGTAAGTATTGCAGGCAAAGTCTGATGACAAAATCCTTGGATTGGCTTTCCTGGCCTCAAGAGGCCTTTGAAGTTCAATCCGAGATTCCTTATAAAAAATTCCAGCAAAGCAGATTTAAAAGAGCCTATATGATCAATTGCTATTCTTGCTGTACTTATATAAATAATTGGGCCAAATTTATTGAAACTAGGCTTATTTTACAAACTAGTTGGTCTTAATTTAGCTACCTTTGGTAAAAATGAGGGTGATTTTAGAGAGAAAAATTATTTCTGTGGAAACTCTAGTACACATTTGTGGATATTAGATCCTAGTTCTGTTAATTGTCTTTGAGGTTTTTTGTTTTCTACCTATAAAGTGGACAGGATCCTGAATTCTTCTGGTTTCGCGAGATATCTGGCTACCAATCTCTGAACTAACGTTTTCAATTTTCCCCTCATTTTTATTTGGAATCATTGAGAACTGAACCTATGCTTTTTACTGAAGCCTTGCAAACTGAAGCTAGAGGACTTTATATAAACTTAAGAGAGATTCTTGTCTGTTGCTATGTAATCCACTCAAAAGTAAGCTACAAAAGATGCTTCGACACTGACATCTAGAAATCTTAACTGGCTGTCCTCTGAGCTCAAAAACTGGTTTATAATTTGCTCTAACCATTAATCTTGTTTTTCTTTTGTTTCCTTAGAAATGCTTCTTATTAAATACCTGATTGCTTGCTTCCACCATATAGGCCTAACTTTGGGAGCCCACTTGCATCTCTGCCTTCTAAAATGAACTTAACTGGGGGCCAGCCCCATGGCTTAGCAGTTAAGTGTGCACGCTCTGCTACTGGTGGCCGGGGTTCAGATCCTGGGCACGCACCAAGGCACTGCTTGTCAGGCCATGCTGAGGCGGTGTCCCACATACAGCAACTAGAAGGACATGCAACTATGACATACAACTATCTAGTGTGGCTTTGGGGAGAAAAAGGGGAAAAAAAGGAGGAGGATTGGCAATAGATGTTAGCTCAGGGCTGATCTTCCTCACACACACACACAAAAAAACCCCCAAAAATAAAATAAAAAAAAAAATAAAATGAACTTAACTAGACTGATCTATTATCAGGACTAAGAAATGTGTGAGATGGGACAATCTACCACTCAGCTTCTGGACTATGAAACTTCTTTAAGTTTCAAAAGGACTGTGAAACTTCCAGGGAAGTTTCAGAGGAGGGAACTGATGGGATTCAGGGCAGGCTGCCCCCAGATGTGCCACTCTGGTATGTGGATTATTTTGAGCTGAAGACAAAGGCTCAGATGACTCAGGAAGAAACTTTGACCTCCCCCCCACTTAACTGCCTAAAAGAATTTAAGATAGAAGGCCTGTCCCCAGGACAGGCCATCACCATAGATAACTCTGGGTATCATAGATTGGGAGGGTCCTTGCTAAGCCCATTCTTATCGGTTTTGTTTACTGAATATTTACATTTGTAAGGGAAATCTCCATTTGTAAAGGTATCTCCCTGTCTGTACTGGGAAGAAGGGGTGATGACCTCATCTCTAGAAACTTATCAATGGGGAAGGTGAGGCTGCATCATAACCTTACTGTGCTTTTCTGGTAATCTCCCATAACTGACTTCCCCCACCTCCAACATCCTCCTTTGTCTTTACCTAAATCTATTTAAGGAGAGAACCTCTGCTATCTTGTCAAGTTACCCAGTAGGTCTCTCCTATGTATACATGTTATAAAGCTTTGTTTGATTTTCTCCTACTATTCAGTCTCATGTCAATTTAATTTGTAGCCCAGCCAGAAAGGACCCAGAGTGGCTAGAGGATAGTCTTCCTCCCCTTCAATTGTAAACAATCAATTGGAAGAAAATGGAGTCTCCATGTCCTTGATGCTAGGCACGTTGTTTCTTGCATAGCCCAGGGTCTGTGGCACTGGCCTATGGAGAAGGCAGTGAAAGGGAGGAAGACTACCCTCTACCCACTCTGGGTCCTTCTGGCTGGGCTACAAATTAAAGTGACATGAGATAGAATAACAGGAGAAAATCAAACAGAGCTTTATAACATGTATACATGGGAGAGACCTGGAAAAACTGGGTTTCTCAACAAAATGGGGGAGATTGTCCTCTTAAATAGATTCAGGTAAAGACAAAAGAGGATGTTGTGGGTAGGGGGAGTCAGCTATGGGAGATTACCAGAAAAGCACAGTAAATAAGAGTAAGGTTATTATATGAAGATTTAAGGCCTCGCTTTCCTAGTTGACAAATTTATAGAGATGAGGTCATCCACCCCCCTTCCAGTACAGAAAGGGAGATATCTTTACAAATGGAGATTTCCCTTACAAAGGTAAATGTTTGGTAAACAAAACTGATAAGAATGGGTTTAGCAAGGACCCTCCCAGTCTATCAATACCCAGATTTATCTATGGTGATGGTTTATCCTGAGGACAGGCCTCTTACCTTAAATTCTTTTAGGTAGCTTGGGGGTAAGTCAAATGTCCTTCATGATTCTTCTGAGCCTTTATTGCCTTCAGCTCAAAATAATCCGCACAACAGAGTGGCACACCTTGGGGCCGCTTGCCCTGAACCCCATCAGCAACATCACCTCAGAGGGCCGCTTGCCTTGGCTGTGGATGATACGTGCTGTCATAGCAAAGCAGTTGCTGTTCTCACTGGTTTTCAGCTTTGAAAATCAAGACCAGTTTTCCAATCAATCTCCTAACTACCTTCATGATTTTGCTATATCTGCATACCTCTGGAATTGTATATCATTTTGTTACCGAACCAAGTGGGCCCGCCTCCTCGTGAGTTAAATAAGACTCTACACCAGTGGAAGTTGTCTCACAAAGTAAAGTGTATTTGCAGCAAATAGGGGGCCATGAGGAATCATTTCCAAAGTCATGGTGTCCCTGAACAAAGGGAAGGAGGAACTTTGGTTAGGGAATGAATATTCAAAAGGGAGAGGCGGGTACACTGCAGATTATGGTTATGATGCTTAATCTCCTCTTGAAGAGATCTTTGCATTAAAAATAAGGCAAGGTCATGGGCATAGCTCTTGTAGGGAGGCTGGTTAGCTTCAGGGTGGCTACTGGTTGTCTCCTTAACATAACAACAGTTAAATGCTTCCAAACCCACCCTTGAGTTCCCCAGGGCACTAGTCAGTGACAATTTCCTGTCTTTCTTCACCTTGACTCACTTTTGAAATTTAAAATTTGACTCTAGCTTCATTCCAAGCAGTTAGATTTGTGAAATCACAAATCGAAGGATTCATTATATACATATACACACACATATATTTCCTAATGCATATTAAAATTAATATGAAACTATCTTTTAAATGTTTATCCACGTACCACCTATAATATTTGATCACAGGACGTTTTTGGAATCTGCTATAGGAAAAGCTGGGCAATTTTAATTTTGTTTTCATTCAAGAATGTGTTATTCGTCTTAACAATGCCAAAATTAAAAAGAATGGCTGACAGGAGACAGGAGGTAAGTGGGAGTAGGGGTCGCTCAGATCCTCGTCTTGCACTGAGGGCTCTCAGATCCTGTGAAAAGTGGATGGAACAAGAAGTAGAGGCATGTACACATGCTGTTTAAAGGTACAGAAGCAAATGAGAAAACCGAAAGTTCAAGGACGAAGGTCACGTGTTGGCAGGAGGCAGGGAGGGGAGCTGGGTGTAACGAGGTCAATCCTAGCACATACGTGTTCATCTGTAGTTCATAAGTCAAGACCTAGAGAGATAAGCATGTGCTTTAAACCCAGGCAACCCTCTCAAAGAGGTGTTAAGAACAGAAATGGTTAAAAAAGTTACCTCTGGGGCTTGGGCAGGGGGAGCGTTGCTGTGTGTGTTCAGCATCAGCTCTTTGGGGCTACTCTTTTGTTACCACATGTATGTATTAGAGGATGCTTTTTTTTGGAATTTTTGAAATGCTGCACCCTGGGGCTCCAGTTTGAGGCCTCTTGGTCCAGGTGCAGGGCTTGGGAGGGGCAGGAGAACTACTGGCCTCTGCTGGCCCCTGCTGGCCGCAACGCCTCCCACCTGCCATGTTTTCCAAGAAGCACAGATCTTGCCATCACCACCTCCACCCCCAGAAACTGCCTTCCTTCATCTGCCCCCTGGACACCTCTGTCAGCCACCACAGCGTGCCCTGGACATGGGGTCCCAGGGCCCAGGTATGAGACCCCTCTGCACCCGCGGGTGCTGAGGCCCGGGGCTGCATCCGTGTCCTCTTGGGTCCCTTTCTATACTGAATGGGAAGGCTTTGGGTCCCAGGATAAGAGCTGAGGTGCCTCCAGGGATTTCTGAGGCTCACACTCCTCTCAGGGGCTCGTTCTCAGAGACTTAGGCCACCAGAGCGGAGCTTTCCTGTGAACCGGGGCCAAAGAATGTGGGCGTGTAAAGGATTCTAAGGAGTGGGGACTGGGCTGGGAGTTGGTGACGGGACCGCTTAGGACCAAGCCCTTTAGGGGAGGCAATTACGGCAGAAGAGAAGGAAGGGCGCAAACCCCGAGGCCCGCCCAGCCTCTGCAGAGGAGCCACCTTCCTCCCTCACCTGGAGAGACCTGGATCGAGGGCCGCGTGACCAGCCTTCTCAGGATCTGGATGGTACAGGACAGAGGCTGAGCACACTGGTTTTTGGATTAGCTACGTGCCCCAGACCAAGTCACCTCACCTCTCTGAGTCTGTTTCCTCATCTGTAGAATGGGGCCTACTGGTTGCCAGGGGCAGAAACCCTAACTGAAATCGGCTTAGGCAAAAAGGAAAAGAAAATGACTCACACAATCCAAGACAGGTTAACAGGTCAATACGGGAGGGCGAGGGGTGCAGACAGAGACTGGATCTGGTCTGCCACCTGCAGGACTCACACCTCCCACGCCCTCGTCCATGCTCCTTCCCTGTCTGGCCTTCCTCACTCTGCACTGGCTCCCTCCTGTGGAGACACAGGAGATGGGAACGAGACAGCAGGAAGTTCCCTCCCTTCTCCCTCAGCGGGATGGTCCAAAGTGCAGGGCACAGGGGCTGTCGAGATGTCCTCTGCGAGGAGCAAAGAGCTCTGCTCTTGGGGAACGGTGGACTGCTCAGAAACGCTCTCAACCTGGTATTTGCGCTCCTCCATTTTCTGCCTTATCTCCTTTTCCCCCTCACTTTTATGCCCCAGGATGCACTCCGAACAAAGCCTTAGGACATAAGCTCTGCCATGGGCTCTGTTTCTTAGGGAAACCTAGGATAAGATAGCTGCTTACAAGTAGTGTGACCTTGAATACCCTACTTAACCTCTCTGTGCTTCAATGTTCTCATCTGTTAAACGGAGTCATAATAATTCCTAGCTCACAGGGTTATAGTGAGTTAAATACACAGAAAGCACTTAGAGCAGTGTGGAAGCTTTCAATGAGTTAGTGTTTATAATTTTTGTTGCCCTGGGGCCTGAGAAAGCTCTCTAAATTGGGACAGTGGCAGATCATCATGGGAAGAATGGAGGTTTGGACGACTTTCCCCAGGGCTCTCGTCAGCGACAGAGCCTCGGGGCTGAGGATGCTTGTTGCTGCCCAGGCTGCACCCTCCTCGGGCTGGCTGTCCCTGAAGTTGGGGAGTGGGCTGAGGCTGGGGAAGGAGCACTGGACTGAGAGTCAGCACGACTTGGTTTCAGCCTGCATGACCCCGGGTGCGGCCTTCGCTTCTCAGAGCCTCAGTTTCCTCACCTGTAAAGTGACTACGTTGACATGCACACCTGTCTCTCAGGGGCCTCACCTGGGCAAGGGCCAAGGGCGCTGCAAAAGTTTAATCATTCAAAAGCCCTGCGAGCACTTACCTCGGGTAAAGTCAGTGAATGTCAGATCTAATGGGCCTGGAGACCACTTCCTCCAGCCCTCTGCCTCTGTTGCACAGAGGAGGAAACAGGCCCCAAGAGAGGAAATAGCCTGGCCGATGTGAGGGAAAGGGCTTGTGGCTTTGGGCAGGGACAGAGAGGTGAACTGGGGGGAGGGGTACACAAGTCTCTCTCTCCCAGCCTAGGAGCTGGCCGGGGAATACCTTCCTCTGGCACAGACCCCCAGCATCAAGGATCCCAGGGTGGGGGTCTGCTCTGAGTCTGGGGACCTCTCCAACTTCTGCCTGGGCCCTTGCGTCTGTGACATCCCCAGGGGATGGCTGGGAATGGGGAGTGAGGACAACCAGCAAGGGCCCCAGAGTCCTGACGAGTGGCCCAGGCAACCAGAAGCTAGGGCCAAGGCAGGCTGGGGCAGGTCAACGCTGCTCATCCTGGGGGCTGAACATTCAAGCATGGAGAATCTGCTCCCTGCTCAAACCCCATGTCCTACTTAATGACAACCCTCTAAGGCCAGGCTGTGGGGGGCAAAGGGGGAGCATCTTTAGCAGAGCCGGGCTGGGGCCCTCTCAGTTTCTAGCCGACCCTTTCCTCTGCCAGCCCCGGCTCCTTGATGTCCAGAGGGCACTAGCTGGGAAGAAATGAAGTGCCCAGATAAGCTCACACTCAGGTGTGAGTGGCTGCTTCCTGGCCTAACGGTGTTAGGAGCCTGGCCTTCCAAAACACGGGAGGAGAGGAGGTTACACTGGTGCCACATGTGCCCAGAGCCGTGCCAGGCATCCACATCCCAGGTTCACGTGTGCCTCAGGACAGCCCTACCAGGAGGCGTTATAACTCCATCGTACAGATAGGGACTCTCTGAGAGGGCTGGGACACGCTGAGGTCCCACAGCCAGCCATTACAGACGTGGGACCAGAACCCAGCTTGTCTGACCTCCGACCCAGGCCTCCGTCTCCAGGGCCGAGGGCCTCCAAGCTGTGGGTGGGAGCTCAGAGGAGGCCTCTGCAGCCGTAGGATGAGGGGGTGTGGAGACTGCACTGACCTGGGGAATGGAGTCTTCCCTGCTCGTTCTCAGGAGCTCAGCAGAACTCACAGTGCAGGGCACAGTCACAGCTGAATGAATTGGCACTCGTTTCTGTAATGTTGCCCAAGAGACAAAACTATTTTTCTTTTCCCAAACCAGAATCTGGTCACCCCAATAGACCATCCTTGCCTGGCAGGACTTGAGGAGCTCCATTCTTTATGGAGGTCTCCCTGGGACAGAACCCAGACAGAACTTGAAACCTCCCCTCCAAGAAGGCCTGGAGGAAAGAGCCCCTGACCCTGGCTGATTGGGAACGGCTGGGGTCTGCCTTGATCAGCGTTTTTTGAGGACCCCTGCATCACAGAAGAGCCATCTCATCCCCAGGGACCTTTTCAGCATCTATAACTGACTTCTCTTAGGGCTTTACCACCGTTCCGAATCACATTCACACTGCAGGGCCTGAGGCTGAAGAAGGTGATGTAAAGGGGCAGAGCGGTGGGGAGCCCAGGTAGAGAGGCCGGACATCCCCCTGCCTCTCCTCACTCCATGCTTCTCATACACCTCCTCTGGGAAGCCTTCCCAGATACCTCTACATTTTCCAAGTTTCTTTGCTATATTTTAGGGAGAATTCCTCCTTGCCACTGACAGCTAAACTGCCACTTCTGCTCAGCCAGGGGCCATGGGAGCCTGCTTTTCCTGCTGGTTCCAAGGATCTGATCATACATTCAGCTAGATAGATGATTGCAAATAAATGTAGCTGTGTGTTCATTCCTCCATCCCTCGCAGATCAGCGAGCCCATGTTACTGTGCCGGGTGCACCCTTTGGGGGCACGAGGGTAACACTGGTCTACGTATAAGGAGTTACAGTCCAGCTAAGAGGGGAGTCTTGGACACCAGTAACAGTGGAAACAGGACCGTGTTTTAAATCAAACTTTTATTGTGTACCAGGCTCTGTGCTAGAGCATTTTATGCACATGTTCTCATTTAATCCTCACACAACCATATAAAACCACCATTCTTCTTATTTTTCATTTTGATTATCATTATTATTGTTTTGTAGATGAGATCTTTTAGACTAAGATACATAGACGTTAACTTGCAGGAGGTCACACAAGCAGCAGATGACAGAGCCAGGCTGTGAGCCCGAGCAACGCCGCCTCTCAGAGCCGTCATCTGTGTGTGCAACTCAGGAGAGGAGGCCGCTCTCATCTGGGGGTCAGGGGTGGCTTCCTGGTGAAGGTGACTTTAGTGGGGCCTCGAAGGAGGGATTGGATCGGAGGCACTGAATTTTGAGGGAGGAGAATTCTAGGAACAAAGATGTGGGAGGTAGAAGAGTGCCAGGCGTGTAGAGTGACTGAGGAGAAGCATGTGGGCCGGGAGAGGTGGGTGTGGGTGTGGACTGACTGGAAGGAAATGCAGGTTCATAGGTTCAAGGCCCTGGCTGCCGGGCCAAGGGTTTGGAGCTTGTGGTAGGCAGACTCATGGACCCTGAAGATGTGATGCCCATGTCCTAATGCCCAAAACCTGCGATTATGTTAACTTAGACGTCAACAGGGACTTTGCAGGTGAGATTAAGTTAAGGGTTTTGAGATAGGAAGATTATCTAGGACTATTCAACTGAGCCCAACGTAATCACAAGGCTCCTTATAAGAGGGAGGCAGGAGGGTCAGCCTGGGAGAAGGGGGTCTTACGGTGGATGCAAAGTCAGAGAGAGAGAGATTTGAAGATGCTATGCTGCTGGCTTTGAAGATGGTGGAGGAGGCCATGAGCCAAGGAATGCAGGCAGCTTCTAGAAGCCAGAAAAGGCAAAGAAATGAATTTCCCCTAGAGCCGCCAAAAGGAATGCAGCCCTGCCAACACCTTGATTTTAGCCCAGTGAAACCCATTTTGTATTTCTATTTATTATTTTTTATTATTTTTTATTTTGTTCTATTATTTTTATGGAAGTATAATTGATATACATTATATTAGTTTCAGGTGTACAATGTAACAATTTGATATTTTTATATATTGCAAAATGATCACCACAGTAAGTCTAGTTAACATCTGCCACCATACATAGGTACAGAATATTTTTTTTCTTATGAGAACTTTTAAGATCTCTTTTAGCAACTTTCAAATATGCAATACAACTATAGTCACCATGCTGTATATTACATCCCCATGGCTTGTTTATTTTATAACTAGGAATTTGTACCTTTTGACTCTCTTTTCCCATTTTCCCATCTCCAACCCCCACCTCTGGCAACCACCAATCTGTTCTTTGTATCTATGAGCTTGGTTTTTTGCTTTTTTTTTTTTTAGATTCAACATATAAGTGAGATCATACGGTATTTCTCTTTCTCTGTCTGACTTATTTCACTTAGCACAATACCCTCAACGTCCATCTACGTTGTCGCAAATGGCAAGATTTCATTCTTTTTTATGGCTGAATAGTATTCCATTGTATATGTATGTGTGTGTATATATATACATATATATACATATATACATATATCTTATCAAATTAGTGTTTTTGTTTTCTTTGGATAAATACCCAGAAGTGGAATTGCTGGATCATATAGTAGTTCTATTTTTAATTTTTTAGGAACCTCCGTACTGTTTTCCATAGTGGCTGCACCAATTTACATTCTCACTAACAGTGCACGAGAGTTCTCTTTTCTCCACATCCTCACCAACACTTGTTATTTCTTGTCTTTTTGATAATAGCCATTCTAACATTTTGAGGTGATATCTCGTTGTGGTTTTGATTTGCATTTCCCTGATGATTAGTAACGTTGAGCACATTTTCGTGAACCTGTTGGCCATTTGTTTGTCTTCTTTGGAAAAATGTCTATTCAGATCCTCTGCCCATTTTTCAATTAGATAGTCTGGTTTTTTGCTATTGAGTTGCATAAGTTCCTAATATATTTTGGATATTAACTCCTTATCAGATAGGTGATTGGCAAATATTTTCAGCCATTTGGTAGGTTGCCTTTTCATTTTGTTGATGGTTTCCTTTGCAAAAGCTTTTTAGTTTGATGTAGTCCCACTTGTTTGTTTTCGCTTTTGTTGCCTTTCTTTTGGTGTCAAATCCATAAAATCATTGCCAAGACCGACGTCAAGGAGCTTACTGCCTATGTTTTCTTCTAGGAGTTTTATGGTTTCAGGTCTTACATTCAAGTCTTTAATCCATTTTGTGTTAATTTTTGCGTATGGTATAAGCTAGTGGTCCAGTTTCACTCTTTTGCATGTGGCTGTCCAGTTTTCCCAGCACCATTTATTGAAGAGACTGTCTTTTCCCCATTGTATATTCTTGCCTCCTTTGTGGTAAATTAATTGACCACATATGCATGGGTTTATTTCCGGGTTCTCTATTCTGTTCCATTGATCTATGTGTCTGTTTTTATGCCAGTACTATACTGTTTTGATTACTATAGCTTTGTAATGTCACTTTGGATTTCTGGCCTCCAGAACTGGATGAGAATAAATGTATGTAGTTTTAAGCCACTAACTTTGTGGCAGTTTGTCACAGCAGCCCCAGAAATGAATAGAGGGCTCTAGGCTGAGCACAGTGTGGGGCACTGGGGCTTTCAGCTACATTGTCTCATTGGCATTTTAGAAAGCTGGATTCAATCCCACAAATATTTACTGAGCACCTTCCATGTACCAGGCACCTTGCTGAACCATGGGGAGGTAGTGGCAAAAGAGAGAAACACAGCCCTTGCCCTGGGTGGAGCTATGGTGTCACTAGAGGTCACTCCAGCCCCCACATTGGGTTAGAGGCCAGTGCAAGATGAACAGATTATCACTAACTGGCAGCCTGAACAGAACCAGTTCCCACCTGGCAGCTGCAGGGCCTTTGCTTAACTGAAAAGGCAGTTATCTGTACATCTCAGCAGATGTGCCATAGCCAGCTGGGGCAGCCACTTGGCTGCAGCAAGTCTGTGCTGGCTGCTGCCCATGGCCCTTTCTCTGCTGTGCAGCCTGAGGGGTCATGGGCAACAAGGAGGGGGGTGACCCACAGTGGATTTCTCAAGGCACCAAGTAGGAGTCTCCACTGGTGGGGGGAGTGTGCCAAGGGAAGGCAAGAGGGTTGAGGAAGTGCCACCCCCAACTCACCAGCAATTCCACCCCTAGAGGTATATCCAGCAGACGTGTAAACATACATGCGCCAAAAGACATCAACTAAAATGCTCACGGCAGCCCCAAACTGGAAACAAGCCACACACCCAGCAACAGTAGAGTGATGGCTAAAGTGTGACATATTCACACGATGGAACACTAGACAGCAATGTGGATGAATGAACTATTGTTAAACCCAGCAACACCGATAATTCTCACCAACTTCGTATTGAGCAAAAGAAGCCCGACACAAAAGAATACCTGCTACATGTTTCCATTTATGTCACATGACTTTATTTATGTAACGGTCATAAAGAGGCAAAACGAACCCACATGTGAGAAGTCAGATTAGGGGTTCCCCTGGGGGGGGTAGGAGTGCACAGAGATTGGGAAGAGGCACAGGGTGCTTCTGGAGTGCTGGTAACGTTCTAATTCCGGACAGGGGTAACACAGGAGTGTTCACTTTGTGATAATTCATTGAGCTGTATACTCATGATGTATTTTCTATGTGTGCATTATATGGCAGTGAGAAGTTTATGTTAAAAGTTATGAATGAGCACACTGCAGTGATTGGGATATTTTGGTGGTGATGTGATGTCGAGGATATTGGCTGGGACTTAGAAAGCCCAGGTTCTAGCCTTAACCTGCCTGGACTAAGACCCATTTTTTGGTCCCAGTTTCCTCATCCAAAAATTGGGAAGGCATTTATGTGGATTCTATGATTTTTGCAGAAACTTAGCAAATTGCTTGAACTATAGCTAATATGACTCCTCATATATTAAAAAAAAAAAAGGAAGAATCCAAGGCTTTGTGGGAACTGGAGATGTTTTCCTGTTTCCTCGTTAGAGTGGTCATGCAAAGATTTGGCTCCATTTCCAGCGGCTCAGTTATCAGACCTTGGCTGCAGAGGCAGGTGTGTGGTGGACTGGAAAGAACACGGTGGGCTTTGGGATCATTCAGTCTGGGTTAGAGTTCTGGCAGGGTCCCCATCTTAGTAGGGTGTGAACTTGGGCAAGCTCCTTCACCTCTCTGAGTCTCCGTTTCCTCACTGGTAAATAAAGACAATTATACCCACTCTGCTGGGCAGGTATGAAGATTAATTGAAAAGTGCCCGGCCATTGGTAGGCACAACTGCTTTCCCTATACCTCGTGAGGTCCCTAAGTTAGGTAGGTCTGCTGCTGGGACCAGGCCAAAGAATACATCTGATCATTCTGACAATTTGCTGATCCAAACTAAACAAAGGAAGTAGAGATGGCCAGGGAGCCCTTGGAGAGCAGAGCCCTCCTTAGAGGGGGTGCAGAGACTGTGTCATGAGGGCCTCTCCTTACCCAGGGGGACTCAGGCCTGCCCATGAGACCCTGGGTGGCTGGGGCTTGGGGAGGGATCAGGGGAGAGGGAGGGACACGAGCTAGTGTCCTGGGGGCCTGTCTTCACTCCCTGGGTGGCCCTCCCAGGGCCTTATGGATGTGTTAACAGCAGGTACAGGAGGTCCAACTTTCATACTGTGCTCAGCTCTGGGCCCCACTCTGTGAGGGCCTGTTGACAAACAGGACTCTGAGGAGGGGTCCTGAGGAATGGGGAAGGATCTTGACACAAGAGGGACAGCTGGAGAAACTGCTGGGGTGGGGGCTGTGTAGCTCAGAGAAGACTCTAGGGACCTAGGGTCACTGCTTTTGCTAATCCAGTGGGCTTTCTGAATTTACTGACCTTCTGTGTGGAGACTAGTGTTTCCTCAACCCTGACTCTCTCAGAGAATCCAAACCTGCTTATTCTTAATGACATTTTTTCTAATTATATACACACACACATGCATATATACATGTATGTTCATGCAAAAATAATTGAAACACATAGAAAGGCAAACTCAGAAAATAAAAACCCATAATTTCATCACCTGGAGATAGCTATTGTTGGTATTTTTGTGTATGTCCTTCAGATTTAGATACATAACGACCAAATATATTTTTTCAGTCAGACTTTTTGGTGGTAGGCGACAGAAACTGGCTCTGGCTATCTATATTAGGTAAGGTATAGTTAGTTGCTGTGTTAGGAAAATTCCAAAATTACAATAGCTTTACACAGTGCAGATTTATTTCTTGTTCACGTACAGCCCCAAACAGCTGTTCCTAATGCATGTAGGGGTGTGGTGGGAAGCACTGTTGAAGGTGGTTCCACCATTCAGCACATGGCTTCCTAGGTCACCAGTCAACATGCAGCCAGCAGACAGAAGAAGAGAGAGTGGAGGATTATGCAGGAGGATTTAGTGGCCTGGCGTGGTGTCCACACTGTCCCTTCGCTTTCCATTAGCCAGAATTCAGTCACATGGCCAAACCTAATGGGAGGCTACTGGAGGACTAGTAGAATTGATGGGAGGCTGGGGCACTGGCCTTGAGATGGAGTGGTCCTCAAGGTGCTCAAGGGAGCCAAGAAGCAGGAAGCAATAAACATGGCAGCTGCCTTGTAGCCAGGCAGGCCGGCCACCACCACTCCACCCTCACCACAGCTGCCACGAGTTCTTCCTCGGCTCCTAGGCTCACTCTCTTGGGACCCAGCATCCTAGAAGAGAGCGTCTGATTGATGAAGCTCAAGCCATGCCCTCATCCCTGGCTTCCCTAGGGCCAGAAGAGCTAGATCTGGCCCTGTAACCCCAGCATGGGGAGGCAGGCTTTTCTTTCTGCTGGGGTGGCTCCACTCCCTCACCAGGGGGAGACAGTTCTCTGAAGGACTATTGGGAAAGAGGATTGGTGTAGATGGTCAACACCACAATCCTTTACACTATGTATTTCACTGCACTGTGTTACCAGGCTGAGACCCTGTCCTTTGTGTCAGTCCTACTCCACCTGCCTCCTCCCCCCACCCCAGTGGCCATAGCCATTCCAGGGTTTCTACGGCAGTAGAGGGAAGTCAGAGCAGACATGGTAAATGGAATTTCCCAGACACTGCAGGGAAAGAAGACATGTGGAGTCCAAGATGGCTCAAAGCAGCAAAGTCTCACCAACGTTTCTATGCGGCAAGCTCCTAAATACACGAGGACAACTTCCCCAGTCCTCCTCCATCACCAAAACAACCCACAGCCCATAAAAAGCAGCAAGAGGGATAGAAAAGAAAAAGCCTAGAATGTAAATTTCACCTCCCATTCCCTAATTTGGAGGTGTTATGTCTTTAGGGGACCTCACTCCATGATTTCCTGGGTCCTTGACACACCCTAATTGGTATTTGAGACAATAAGCACATAAAAAGATGCTCAGCATGGTTGGTTCTCATGGAAATGCATATTAAAACCATGAGATATGAGTACACATTCACCAGTAAGGAATAAAATTAAAAAGACTGATAAAACCTAGTGTTGACAAGGATACAGAGCAACTGGAAGTCATACACATTGCTGGTGGGAGTATACAATGGTACAACCATGATGGAAAATTGTTTAGCAGTTAAACATACACCTGTTCTATGACCCAGTAAGTCCACTCCCGGGCATTCACTGATGAGAAATAAAACCATATATTCACAGAAAGGTTTGTATAGCAGCTTTATTTATGACAGACTAAAATAGGAAACAGCAAATGTCCATCATCAGGAGAATGGATAAACAAATTGTGGTCTATTCATACAACAGAATACTTCTCATCAATACAAATGAACTACTGATACACACAGGGCCATGGATAAATCTCAAAAACATATGATGAGTGATGTCAGCAACATGGCAGAGGAGCTGTTCCCCTTGACTCTCCCCCTTCGAACTACAATTAAATGGCAATTCATTGATCAATGGAGGATACCCACATAGCACATCAGGACGCCTGAGAGACCCGTGCAGCTATACATCTGAAGGTGGATGGACTACCCCCAGGGAGGTGGTGGAGATACGTGAGCACTCTCCAGCCCCCCAGGATCCCTATACACTCATGCAACTGCTCTCCTGGCTGGAGCACCCATAGCACCGCTGTGGCCCCGACGATGGGATTGCACCTTGGTGTGACTGCTGGAACAGGTGATGGCAGCCCTGAGCCCGCGTGTGATCACTCTCCCATCTGGTGGGAGAGCCCACAGAGCTTCCATGGTCCCCAGGGAGTGGCTCAGGCTCAGACCCAGTGAGGAGGCCCTGCCCACCAAGCGCAATAGCTGGTGCAACCTAGGAAGAGAAGGCAGTAGATTTGTGTGCCCAGGCAAATGAGCTCCTGGATGCTGTGAATGCCCATAGTATCCCTGTGGCCCCAATTGGGGGGGGGGGAGTGTGTCTTGGCAGGACTGTGGGAGTAGGTGGTGACAGCCCTGAGCCCCCACATGATTGCTTTCCCATTCGGTGGGAGAGCCCACAGGGCCACTGCGGTCCCAAAGAGTGGCCCAGGCTCGCACAGGCACAGCTGACGGGGATTGCAGAGGACTCAGAATACACAGCTCCTGCCCCGTCCCCACCCCCAGTGGTGGCAGGTGGAACCTGCAACCAGATGCTATCACTATGTGACGGCACAAATCCACCCCATCAAATAGTATGAAGAAATATATTAATACTCCAGAACAGAAGGAAAAAGACAAACACCCAGAAATCAATCCTGAAGGCACAGAAATCTACAATCTAAATAACAAAGGTTGCAAAATAGCTATCATTAAAAAACTCAACAAATTACAAGAGAACTCAGAAAGACAGTTCAATGAAATCAGGAACAAAATTAATGAACAGAGGGAATTCTTCACAAAAGAGATTGAAACTATAAAGAAAAACCAAACAGAAATGT